CTCGCAGGTTGAGAACCTCCAGCACGTCGCGCGCAAGGCGCCCGAGTTCGAGCACGAGGGTGGTGACATCGTCAAGAACACCAACCAGGTGCTGCCCATCCAGGCTACTGCCGCGCTCCTCTCGCAGGTCGGCAACCTCCAGACCGCTGGCAAGCGCGGCGTGCACGGTGACAACATCGTCGAGAACACCAACCAGGTGATCCCCATCCAGGCTACTGCTGCTGCGCTCTCGAGCGTGCTCAACTCGCAGAAGGCCAGCCGCTCGGTTGTTGACAACGACAACCAGGTTGCCCCCATCGAGGCGACTCTTGCTGCTCTCTCGCAGGTTGCCAACGGCCAGGCTAGCAAGCGCGACGGTGCTGTGATCAACGACAACCAGGTGGTTCCCGTCCAGGCGGTTGCGGCTGCGCTTTCGCAGGTGGTCAGCGGTCAGAAGACCAAGCGAGGTGAGACCAAAGAGACCGATAACGTCAACCAAATTGCACCTGCTCAAGCCACCCTTTCCGCCCTCTCCGATGTGATCAGCAGCGCGCACGCCCGCCGAGCGATGGATGTAGAGCAGTACAAGACGCTCACGTACGCCGTGGATGCTCTGCAGAAGGCGGTCGACCAGACCAACTACTCTGACAAGACGCACCACGTGGATGCCATGACGGGCACCGCCGAACACCTCACCGACAAGCGCGACTCGTCCGCCGACCCCACTGCCCTGCTTGGCTCGGCCATGAGCGGCATCTCTGTTCCCGTTGGCAACAAGGATCTGCTCAAGGGCCTTGCCAGGCGTTGGGCTGCCGAGGAGGATGCAGCCATGGCTAAGCGTCGCTCGGTTGATGGCCGTGGTCAGCGCCCGCGTCCTCGCGGCTCTTCGGAGCACAACAACAACGGTCAGTGCTCGGTTGGCGATGCGCAGTGCTGCACCCAGGTCATCAAGGACGAGGGCAAGAAGAAGACGCTCGCCGGCGTGCTTGGTCTCAACTCGCTTGCTGAGGGCGACATCGGTCTCAACTGCCAGCAGATCCCCCTCCTCGGTGGTATTGCGGCACAGAGCATCTGCAAGGCTACCCCAGTCTGCTGCACCAACGTTAGCCAGGACGGTCTTGTCAACATCGGTTGCACGTCGATCCCCATCAACTAAGACCCCGCTTCGGTGGATTCTGGTTGGTTTGGTTTCGCACGTCTCTTAGATTTTGACAGCACTTGTGCTGGATAGCATTTGGTTTCGGTTTTCTGGTGGTAGGCACAGGATGTCTTCGCCCTCACGCTCTTTTACGGCCCTTCTGTTCGGTGGCCTCCTCGTCATGGTCCACATCCAACAACCTCCCCGCGTACTTTGTCTTGTCTCTCCTCTCTCCTCTCCCCTCAAACTAGCAGCAGCAGCACTTCTCTTGAACAATCACTTCTCCCCCCGCACACAGTCTTGGTGGACACCGTGGGACTGTTGTGCATGCAGCATTTTACTCCACGGTCCAACCTAGCTTCTCCCCCTCCCTCTTCCCAGTTCCTAGCTTTCGCTCGTGCTCCGTGTCTTATGCTCGATCGGGCTCTCCGCCTCCTGTACCCATCGCGCATGTGGTGGTCAGCAGTCGAGGAGGTCGCTTCTTCATGCTCGCTTCCTATAATACACCGGTCGTTACGCTATCTTGTTCGTCTGTGTAGAGTGTGCTTCGGTCTGTGATTCTAGGCACAGGCAAGCGTTTGGGGATCCTCTCTTGAGGTGGGTTGGGAACATTTCTTTGGCATCATGACCCGCGGCCGAGCCAATGGTCGCCGGCGGGTGCAAGTGGTGGGACTGACAACCCACCATGCATGCGCTCGGTGCTCGGCCACCGTGTGAGTGCGATTTCCACCGGATCCGCACATGGTGTGCGTGATGCAACTCGATGCACAGCTTGCTTGTTCATGTGTCGGCTTGCAACTTCATTTTGATGGCACGGCGTGGGAGTTGGCGGCGTGGCTCGCTCGCATCGCAAAGCAAAGGTGGGTCTAGCCGTGGACAATGCTCGGCTGGGAAGATCGTGTCGACTCGCCACCACCGCCAACACACCGTACGGAAGCCAGCTGGAGGATTCAGTGGCGGCACAATGTCTCCCGAAGCACTGCCAGACGACTGGATGGCGACTGTGTGCAACGGCACTCTCAGACCAGCCGAGGCAGCAGCGTTTCTCCACCGACACTTTCACTCGCACAATGTAAGTGTGCACGAGTCGCGAGTGGTCTAAGTCGGGAGCCAAGGCTGACGGCTGACTGGAGTGGGGTAATCGCAGGAGTTTGAGGACGACATTGCCATCGTGGCGGCCACGCTGTACTGCTGGGAGTTTCTGATGTAAGCACGAGCTGTTGCGCACGAAATCTCGAACCAAGACTGACTCAGCTGGTTGAATGGGAACAGGACGTTGCCGGCGGAGCTGCGGATCTACCTGACCATACCATGGACGGCACCGCACCTGATCCTGTTTGTGCTCATGCGCTACTCGACCATGGTGACGGTGGCGATGGGGATGTACTCGACGTGGCACCGATTTCGGGGCAACTGTGTGACGTACCGCGATGCCGCGGTGCTGATGGTGCAACTGTCTGTCTCGGCGGTGCTGGGGTGGCGCACGGTGGCGATCTGGCAAAAGGACGCGCGGATCTTTGTGATTGTTGCGCTGCTGCTGATCACCTTGATGGTGTTTTCGTCGCTCATTGTGCTGGGCACGCACGTGCAGCCGGTGAGCAGTGGCGAGTGCATCCTGACGCGCGGCGATGTCGAAGAGCTCTTCCCTCTCGCGTGGTTCTACGCCGGCACGGTGGCGTACGACACGGCAGTCATCGTGCTAAGCACGTTCCGGCTCTGGCAGCACCACAATGACGTCGGCGTATTCCCCGGTGCCAATGCGGACGATAGCAGGCGATGGTGTAGCTGGATCAGCTGGTTGCATTCGCAGTGGAACAGCGTCACGCCGTTGCTGTTCCGACTGACCTCCAACGGCGTGCTCTACCTCGCGTTTTCGACGGTGTTCAATGTGGTGTGCTTTGCGGTCAGCTACGACAACGAGGATAGGGCCCAGAATCTGCTGCTGCTGTACTCGTCGGTCATGTGGGTCGTCTGTCAGCATCTCATGCTGCTCGAGATTCGGGCGACATGGGGCAACAGCTCGGCAGAGCAGAAGTTCGGCACAAAGGGACCGGTCGACGACAGCGATGCGGATCGACTCATCGCACAGATCCTCCAGGCGTCGTGGTCACAAAAGGCACGAGGAGAGGCAAAGACTCTGACCAAGACGGATGGGGGAAAGGACATCGAGCTCGGACCTACGCTGCAGATGGGGTGTGGATGTGGACCAGGAGGAGGCTGTAGCTGCGCGGGTGTTCGAGAGTCGTTGGCGCTGTCGCTACGAGATTTGGCGCTGGCACGCTCTCGATCGTCCGACGAGTGCGATACGACCAAGCTGAGCGTTCAACAGCTGCATGGCTTCCGCCCCTGCATGCCGGGCGAGAGCTACGATGGCTCGGCGCAGTCGTCGATGCACCGCGTCCAGACCGCTGAAGCCGACACGTCGAGCACTGCGCTTGTCACTGATCCTACCGACGAAGCAGCTGATGGCGTCAGCCGTGGCTTCCGCGGTCGACTGAGCGCGATTTCCAACAGCCCTACTCGACTCTTTGCCACCTTCAAGACGCGTAGCGATGGACCCACCGCGCTTGACCACCCGCTGCAACATGCTGAATCTTCGCACTGCTGTGCTCTGGCGCAGAAAGCTCCTGCTCGAAGTCGACGTTTCTCGCAGGTGATCAAGAAGGCTGCCCCCGTGTCGGCAGAGCCGGCGTGCAACTGCCGTCGTCCGCGCCGAAACACGTTGGGCACATTGCAACCGCCCGCCACAGATCTGCAGGCTTGCGCGGACCATCAGGACATCAGCTGCGGGAGGAAAGCACAGGGGATCGAGGTCGCCGCGATGCTCGCCAGCATGTCGCCCGATGACAAGGCCGCCGCACTCGCTCTGGCCGGTATGGACGCAAGCCCGGCCCTGCCATCGTATCCACCCTTCGCTTCGACGATGCACCCACAGAGAGCTAGCCCTGCGAAAGTGCCAACGACAATCTGGATGATGCAGCCGCCACTCATATAGATACGCCCATATAGATCCGTCGTCATCCAGTGCGTTCGACCAAGGATGATCGGGTGAGAAGATGTGGCAGGCTGGCTTAACAGGTGCAAACAGTCGCTTCTGGGTCGACACGACGGAGCCATCTACGCGACACGCGACGCGTTGAGTGGATGAAATCAATTTTTTCTTTTCAAAAAAATGTTCCCGGCCGGGGAATCGAACCCCGATC